TCTCCCTCTCTCTCTGCCCCTCCTCCGTTCATGCTCTGTCTCTCTCTGTCCCAAAAATAAATTAAAAAAAAAAAATATGTCAAATTGTAAAATAGCTGCCTCTGGGAGATGAGGTTATTGGTGATTTTTTTCCCCATGCATCTTTCCAAATATTCTACGATGAGTAGGTATTATCTGGATAATCAGAGAAAAAGAAGTACACACACACACACACACACACACACACACACACACACACAGAGTCTGTTCTCTTCATGTTGCCTCAGCATGAATTGAGGAGCGAGCATTCCCCTTTTCTCCAAGGTTGCCTTTTTCTCCCTACCTGGTTCAACCTTCATCACCCTCTTTAGAGTTTTTTCTGCTCCAAAACCAGAATGTAAATGAATACACTTGGAAAATCCAAAGCAGCTCTGATCTCAGCCTCCTGCTTGTGTGAACTTGGGCTCCTGTAGCTGAGACAGTGATAGGAGAGGGGACAGCCATGGGGAGTTTTCCTGACCTCTCTGCAGGGCAGGAACAGAACATATGTCATTTCCATTGCTGGATCATTCCATGCTTTGTACTGCTATTATTATTCCAAAATGTCCAGGGCAGAAATTTCCACCAGCCCCTCTACTAAGGAGGTCCCTATCCTGCTCCATGAGAGCCTCCAACTCTTTCCCCTTCTTCCTGCTTCCCCAGGATTCTCCCTACAGACCAGAGAAACAGGGTAGGCATGAAGACAAGGGAAGAGTAACTACAGGTTTCACAGGTGCTAGCAGGAAAGGAGATTTCTTGTCTCTGCTAGAATATGGCAGAGATCCCTGTTGGGGAGTGCTGGAGAGCAGGATATTGATTAAACCTTGTCCTGCATGTGGGTTTCATCTCAACATCCAGGGACACAAACCTGGAGTCTCTGCAAACATTTCTTTGAATCATCTGCTAATCATAGAGCCCCTGAGGGTGCAGAAAGCAAGAGGAGATGGAGGCTAGGGGTCTCAATGGGAGGGAGGTGTGTGTGTTGTGGGGGAAGGGATGAAATGGCATGGAAAGAGTATGGGGAGGGGAACAGGAGACCAGGGTTCAGACCTCAGCTCTGTTTTCTCTTTGCTGGGCAACTTGGGTGAGTCACCACCCTCTCTGAGTCTCAGCTTCCTCTTTTGTAACTCAAAGAAGTTATTAAAGGTCCCTGTCCCTTTCTAGGGCCAAGCAACCCTCTCTGAAGAGGTTTCCTGACCCAGAAAATCAGGGTCTTGATATATACCCCTCATCAAAGGAAGTATCAGTACAACCTTCTAACTCCAACATCTGATGCCAAATGCCCCTCCAATCCCATCTCTTGGCACCCTCACCTCTCACTTGGTGATTATCCATCCCACTCTATGCCTCTTCTCATCCTGTTCTCTCCGACTGATTTCCCTTCTCATTTTGGGTTAATACCTACTTGTCTTCTAAAACTCAGCTTGGGTCTCATCTCCTCCAGGAGGCCTTCTCCAATTCCCCACTTACTGGCTGGGTTAAGTACCACTCCCCTGGGCTCCTATAATATCAAGGGCATATTCTATTTTTGCCCCTAATGGTTAGTAATTACAGCTGAGGCTTATTGAACTTTACTAAGCGCCTAGACCTCTACCAGGCTATCTACCCAGCATCACATACTTGGATCCTAACCATACCAGGTGAGGGAGTGCTGTCTTCATCTCCATTTTCCTTAACCTACTGAGCCACCCAGGTCTCCTTTCCCCATTTTCCTGATTAGGACATTGAGCCTGAGGGCTGGGGTTGGGATGTGAACCCAGAGCAATATTGCCCAAAGCCTGTTCTAAGCTTCTGCCTTATACTCTGTCTGCCCACCTTACCGCCTGAACATAGATGTGGTAGTTTTCTCTTTAGGGGTATATATTAAGCCTTCCTCTGACCTATTAACACCAGGAATGCAGTATTCTTGTTCCCTGTGCTTCCACCCCATGCCAATCAGAGTCCCAGCAAGGGCTGAATCTGAATCTCACATTCTTGAGTCCATGCAGTTGGGGCTGCAGGCTCCTTGCTCCTCAGCCTCCCTCACCCCTCCCTAGGTCCTGGGAGTCCAGGAAGAACCTTTCCTGGGCCTAGCCCAATGTCCCACCTGATGCCACATCCACACCTGCCTAGGGTCATGTTTAATTCAGGTAAAGGGACCTTCATTTAGAGGTCATGGTGACATGTGTTAATGTGCTAGCCTGGGCCAGCCTATCTCAGACTTAGGTCACAGAATTCTCACAACAACCTATGAAGAAGATAGGATATGACTTTCATTTTACAAATGAGGGAAACTGAGACTCAGATGACCTCACAGAGCAAGTGTGTCGAGCCAGAAGTGATCCCAGGGTTGTCTGCCCTCAAAGCCCTTTAGTTTTCCCACTGCCTCTGTCCTGCTCCAGGGCCATGTGAGTGAACATCCCCAGAAGATGACAACCGTGATTCATGTCTGCACCTGCCACAGGTCAATGGCTACACCCAGGAACCATGAGGCAGGTTGTGAAAGTCTGGGCTGGGCAGGTGCTGGCTCACAACTGGTTCCAATAACTGTTTATTGGCAGAGGTCAGCAGGGTAGAGATTATCATCCCCACTTTATAGATGAGGAAGTTGCAATCACAGAGGAGTAGGAAAGTTGCCCAAGGCCATCCCTCAGTTAGAGGAAGAACAGAGACCTGAATGCAGGACACTTGGGGACCCTGGGCGGAATAAGAGGAAAGAGCCTGTGCCAGGGCTGAGGCTGGTGGGCCTGGGCTGGCAGCTTTATGGGTCCTGTAAGTCACTGAGATGCGTCAGGGCCCATCCCAGCTCTAATGATCCCTGCTTGAATGAGGGCTTTGTCCTCTCCAGGGGAACAGGGCCCTGGGCCTAGACAGTGACAGGTGACTAGTTTATAGCAGGCCAGGACAGGGGTCTAGGCTGTGAGATAAGGCTGGGAATGTTAAGACTAAAAGTGGGGGGCCTCCTGACCTGTGTAACCTTGGAGAGATGACATATAGAGAAGGAGCCACCCTCTGACCTCCCACATTGCAAATGTACAGCCTTTGTGGTGTCCATGATTAAGGAACATTCGTGAGGATGTGCCCAGACTTAACCTCCCCCCATTCATGCCCCATGCCTCAAACGGTACACCATACCAGGGCCTGGTTCTCCCCCCTATCTTGTTAGCCCCAGCATCCTAGGGGGCGCACTCAAAAGTGTGGAGTAGGATTACCTGGGTGTAGCTCTCCCACCCACATTCTTCTCCTCTGGGAGGCCCCAATGGAATGGACTTTGAAGGGGATCAGTAGCCCCTTAACCCCACCAAAGGTTTCCAAAGTCTCTCCTGCAGTCAAGGGGCTGGCCTGGGGTCACAGGGAATCCCTGAAGTAGATTTCATTCCCAGAAATAGGGTTCCTTCTCACTCCATTCCTCAGTCCTGAAAGATATATTTTTATAGCCTCGTGGACGTAAATCCACTCCACAGAAAAGGCCCTAGGGTGTGGAATCCCTCCCCTGACTCCCATGGTTCTGGTTGCTGATTAAATTCTAAAGCAGTGTGGACAATAGAGCCCTAAGCCTGGTGTGGACGCCCCCTCTCCTCTCTGTAGGATCAAAGTTGCTCCTTGAGGCTGTGTGATCCTGGGCCAGGACGGGGGGAGTGCTGATTAGAGCCAGGACTCTAAGGAGGAAGCCCCTTTGCCTGGATAGTTCTAGGGGAGACAATCCCTCTTCAGAGGTCCCTAGCTTAGGTTCAAAGGCTGGTGGGGGCTGAGAGGTTGGCAGCGGATGGGGAAGCGACTAGACCAGAAAACAGGGGCTTCCTGTTGATGAAGGGGGCCCAGGCCCACTGCTTGATTCCCTGTCCCTCTTCCTTACCCAAGTCTGAGCCTTTCAAACTCCCACGGAAGCCTTCACCAGATGTAGGACTCACAGTACCTAGAGCCATGAAGGAATCCAGAGGCATTGCAGCAGGGGGGCCAAAGCCAGGAGAGGGAGTACCCCTCCTGAGACAAGAGGCAGCTTCCTCTCTATGGCGGCCCTCAGCCCAGTTCCTTCAAGAAAACTTTCCTTTCCCTGGCCCCCTCTGAAGATCCTGACAGACAAGTGAACTAAGGGTCCATTCAGACCCCTGTCTTTTCTCTTCCCATCTCATCTTAGGGGTTGGGGGGGCCTCAAGAGGAACCAGCCCCGTCCCTCTGACCCCATAAGTTTCTCTCTCACTGAGCCCTTGGACTCTACTTCTTAGTTCTGCCGCCTCACCGCACCCCTGCTCTGACCATCACAAAAACACACAGCAATTTAGGGGCGTCTTCGCTGTTGGAAGAAGGGTCTTTGGTCTGCTTAGAAAATAAGTTTGGAGCAGCCTAGGAGGAAACAGAAAAGAGATGATACCCAGAGTATCAGCGACCACTGAGTGAGAAAAGCAAGCCTTCTTTCTGAGGACATCTGTTTCAACGAACACCCGTACACATTCCTCAACTCCAGCATCCTTCGGAGGCTATGTACACCCGCCCACCCCCAACTCAAGCCCATTCCAAGGCCCCGGCGGACTGCTTCCGAGGCGAGAGGGCTGCGCAGGGGTCCAGGCCAAAACGATCAAAGGCAGGAATATGGGCACCCACCGTTGTGTCGAGCAAGTACCTCGCGAAGTCGCCACCCTGTTCCCAAACCGGAGACCCCGTGTGGGATGGGGACAGGGGGCTATGGCGGGGAGGGCACGACCTCTGGGCAGAGAGGAGAGGAGCTGGCGAAGGAAGGGAAGAGGATTGTTCCGGGCACAAGGCACAAGGTGGCTCGGCAGGGGGTGGGAAGGCCAGGAGGGGAGCGGAGGATTTCAGCGCTGGGACAGGACGCGGGGAGGAGAGGCTCCGCCAGGGGGAGGAGCTACTCTCCGCGTCCCGCTGTCGGGGCTCCCTCCCGTAGCGGCTCCGCTATAAAACCCGGTCCCGCATGATCGCGGCACCCCCGGAGGCCTCCTCGGCGCGCGCCCACCGGCTCTGCGGCGTGTTTGCTCCTGTGAGGGATGCGGCTGCTGCCTGCGCTCCTGGCCCTCGCTGCTGCCCGGCCCTTGGCCTGCGCAGGTGAACGCGTGGGCTCCCGCCCGGCCCCTCTGCGCCCCCAGCCGTAGTGCGCGCGAGACACCGGGCGCGCGTCGGGCTCGGGCTGCTTGGGCACCGCCGCGGCGACGGGGGCAAGCGGATGGGACGGGCGCGAGCCAGTGGGCGCACACGAACGGCCACGTGCGGCTGTGGAGCGGGTTTGTGCACGAGTGTGGAGGGCTGCGGGGGGCGCGCGGGGCCCTGGCGGGACCTCGGCCCCGCGAGCGTGACAGTCAGTGATGAGGATGCTTCTCCCACCCGCCTCGACGCACGCAGCGGTTCTTTCCCTTTCTGGAGTTGCGTGCGCCTTTGCTCCTCAGACGGCCGCAGTCCGTCCCGCCGGGGCTCGGTGCTGAGTGGCTGTCCCTCTCCCAGAGCACGGGTGCAGATTGTGTGCGGTGGGTCCCTGGTATCCCCCTTTCCCCTCCCCCCCCTTTCCAAGGTATCCCGGATTCCTTGTCGCCTGAGGCTGCCTGTCCCCTTCACTTCCCCAGCCCCCAGCACTGTACTGGGAGCCTGCAGGCCAGGGACACTAGGAGACCCGAGGCCCTGGCCGAGCCGGTCTTTCCGGCCAGGGTGATTTTCATGTAAAGATTAATGTGTGTCCGAGCTCTTAATTATTCGTCTAGGTGGGAGGTGGCGGGAGTGGTGTGTTAATATTTGATAAAGAGCCGAAAGCACCTCCAGCCGCACAGGGCGCAGAGATCCAGGAGGCATCTTTTCTGCGACCCCACGGGGACGGTCTCCTTTTCAGGAAGCCCCCATCTGCCAGTCTCCAGCTTAGCTACCCCTCCGATGGTCCCCCTAGGGGTTCACCCGGCTAGACTTACTCTCCAAAGCTAGATGCTCCTCTCTTTGGAGTTCTGGAATTGAGTGGTGAGGGTGTCCTCAGGAGCAGAGGAGAGTGTGTGCCCTTTGCAAGAAAGATTTAGCTGGCCGGTTGTGTGTGTGTGTGTGTGTGTGTGTGTGTGTGGTGTTCCGGGGGGAGGGGGGAATGAGGGGAATCTTGCAGAAACTGTTGGCTTCTTTCTAGGAGAGGAGAAAAGAGAAAAGACAGGGTGTGAAAAAATTTCTAGGTAAAGTTGAGAGTTTGAAACCCGCTTCAGTGGGCTTAGTAGAAAAAGAAAAAAGAAACACTTTGCAATTAATTCGGTTGTTTTGTACCTGTGTGGTGGTGGGTAAATCACTTAATCTCAAATTTCTCTTTTACAATATAGGGATAGTCATTCTGACCTTAGGTGTTTTAAGGATTCAAATAAGATAATGGGTGTAAGTACTTAGTGCAGTGCCTGCGTGGCGCATGGCAGACTCCCCCAGATGTGATGACGGTGATGGCTCTACCACTGCCTGCGACCAGCCAGCCAGGAATCTTTCTCAGCTGCCCCTTCATGCAAGCTGTGCTCTCCTTAAGTGCTGAGGCTTTTTCACTGGGAACTATCTTGGGACCTGTCTTCCTCCACCCATTTCATCCCCTTGGACATTTGAGGCTGAAGAGTGATGAGGCTGCACATCACACTCCCGACTATCTGCTGCTGTGGAAGGTGAAGGAGGGGAGAGGAACATAGACTTCTTCTGAGCCCCAGAACCCTGGCCAGGAGTTGCTGAGACTTTGCCAGGACATACTTGGGTTTTTTGCTGAGCTGGTTTCCAGGATTCCTCCTTCCCCACAGAGTGGGAGGGTAGCTTGAGCAAGGTCCATCAGAGAACTTCGGTCACCTCTAAAGAACAGAAGGGTGGTGGGCAAGTGATTGGTGATGTGGTTATGTCTATTACTGCATCCTTGGTCAGAGCAGGTCACCTAGGTAGAACTTGGAGCTTGGAGCCAAGATCTGTCTGTGGGGAGCCTCTCTTGCCCTATGGAGATGGACTGAGGCAGCAGGCTCATAATTATTTGCAAGGGCAGCCCTCTCATGAATGAATATAGGAACCTGAGCTGGTTTGCGACCCTGCCGCCTCTTGCTTGAAAGTCCCTCCCCTCAGCCCACGGACGTAGACCTGACCCCTGGCCTCATCAACATTATGTTTTCCTGGTTCTTGACTCCAGAAGAGAGTAGTTACAAGAGCATTCAGCCAAGCCGGGCAAAAGTCTCCATGATTAAGACAGTGGATCAGAGGTCACCATTCCAAAACCAGGAGCTGTAGCCAGAGTCAGGGGAACAGCAAATTCCTAAGAAAGGCTCAGTGTGAATCAGATGGGCCCTGGGGAGGCTGAGAGGGGGTTCTGCCCTTCAGGACTCTGACGTAAGCAAGGCTTCCCCTGGAATGACTTCCCCTTGGGCCTCCCAGTCAAACTTGGAAGCCCCTTCTGCCTTCAGGACCTTTGAGAGGGGAAGACATAGGAGAATTTTTTTTTTAAATTTTTTAATGTTTATTTATTTTTGAGAGAGAGAGAAAGAGAGAGTGCAAGTGGGGGAAGGGTAGAGAGAGAGGGAGACACAGAATCCTATACAGGCTCCAGCCTCTGAGCTGTCAGCACAGATCCTGATGCAGGGCTCAGACTCATGAGCAATGAAATCATGACCTGAGCCGAAGTTGGATGCTTAAGCAACTGAGCCACCCAGGTGCCCCAAGACATAGGATAATTATAACAAGGAGCCTTCCATGGGTGTGAATGACCTTCCATGTTATTCAGTGTCTGCTCGGACACTGACCAAAGTCCTGGGTGTTTGGTAACAGTTCGTTCTGAGGGAGAATGGAGGGCTCAGAAAAGTTCACGTAATTCTCCTGCAGAGATTGAGCAAGAGGCAGAGCCAGGACTGAGGCCAGGTGAACAGGCTCCAATGTCAGAGCTCTATCCACCTGCAGAGATTGGCCTGGGTGGGAAGTGGCCACAGCCCCTTGCAGAGTTGACCCGCATGGGGATTCCTCAGATGCAGCAATTTCTGGGAACAGCAGAGCCCAGTCCAGGGCAGGGGACAGATTGTTGTGGGGAAGACACTGCAGGGACTGTCAGACTCTGAATGAGGCTGAGCCAGCTTTGACCCGGAGTTGGGAAACTCAAAAACCCTAGGTGACTCTGAAGGGCCTGGAGTGAGAAAGTGCCCTGTTTTCTGTGGATGCTCTCTCCTGGCCTGGAGCCCCTCCTTCCTTCCCCTACCAAGAACTTGACCTCCTACTGGCTCCCTCCTCACCACATCCCCATTCCAGGGACTCCAGAGGAGGTGGGGTGGAGGGAGGCAGCCTGGCAGGAAGGGGGAGATGTGCTCAGAGACCTTAGCTCAGCTGAGTGGGAAGCTGTGCTTTTCTTAGGAATTTTCTCATCCCTGAGTTCTTTCCAGCTCACTTCATTTGTCTCCTCTCTGCCCAGCCTTTGGCCATCTGTGCACTGATCTGAGGCCAGAGGGAGGGAGGCCAGGGAAGGGAAGGATCCATTAGGGAGTTTACTATGTTCTAGGTTGCCTGGAATACTCTACTATCTCTCATTTAATCCTCCCACAGCCCAGTGAGGTGGATGGTATTAGCTCCACTTGACAGATGATAAAACTGAGGCTCAGAGAGATTAGGTGACTTGCCGCTAAACCTGCAGTGCCCATGTGGCCCAGCCAGGATTCCAGCTTTGGATCAAATGTTTTGTCCATCCTGCTGCTTCAGCCTTTTTTTTTTTTTTGTAATCAATAGACTATACTTATAGAGCAGTTTTAGGTTTACAGAAAAACTGAGCAGAAAGCACAAAGGGTGTCCCCTCTGCCCTTGCAGTTTCCCCCGATGGTAACATCTTGCATTTAGTGTAGTAGGTTTGTAGCGCTGCCTCTTTTCAGAGATGCTGGTTCTACTGCCCTGAACCAGAGCTGGGATTAGAACCTGAATCTGGCCCCATGAACCAGGATTGTGAGGTAATGGGACAGGGGAAAAAGCCTGACTGCCTTTCCCGATGGGTTGTGAGAGTTTAGCCCAGAATGGGTCTTAATAACACAAGAGGGTGTGTGTTCCAGGGAGGGGCTAGTCTAATCTCCTCCATCATCCGGATCAACTCTGGGAAGGCGGCCAGGCTGAACCTGGCTCTATTGTCCCAGGAAGGGAGACTGGGCTAATTCTTCTCCTGTGCTCTTGCCAGAACCGCCCTTCCAGGTTTAGGGTGGGAGATGCAAGGGAGGAGGGGGCTGAAAGCAATTGGAAGAGAGTGTGGAGACCAAGCCCGGGGTAGAGCTGGTAGCCTCAGAAGGCCCCCCTAAGGTCCCTCAAGGGTGACTTTTTTGCCTGAGGAGTAGTGCCCTGGGCATGATGTGCTGTGGGTCAGGACACCTGGGGCCTGGCTGATTGTACTGCCTCCGCCCCATCCCTATATTTTCTTTAGCCTCCTTCCTTTGGGCCCTCTGTCTGAGACTCCAGGAATGCTCCATCCCAACCCAAGGGGGTCTCTGACTCCATGGATATTCCTAGCCTCTGACCCACCATGTATGTGCACATGTGCGTGCGCACACACAAACACACACAGAAACAGTGTTGCTTGTGCATACACAGCTCAAGTGCATTCCTAGAGACATATGTGTGCACAAATACATTGACACAGACTTCATATCCTTCCTCTGCCTATTCCAGATTCACACTGGTGCTACGACATTCAAGCCAAGGCCTCCAACTATGCTTGCTTGGGTAAGTATAGCACGTCTTACTGACAGGCCTTTCTGTGTGGTGGGGACTGCCCAAGTCAAAATGAAGACCCAGGGAGGGTGGGAAGGATAAGGGTAATGATGGCTCCTTAGTCAGATATCAGTTCTTCACACACACACACACACACACACACACACACACAGTCCTGGTCCTGAGGAGACAGGGAATGTAGAGTGACCTGAATCGTCCCTGGCATCTCCTGTCACTATCAACAAGAGGATGTCTTCTATCAAATAAATCAGCAGTAGCATCAGATGTAGAGATACATTTTGCTTTTTTTTTTTTTTTTTTTTTTTTTTTTTTAAGTAGGCTCCATGTCCAGTGTAGGGCTTGAACTCATAACCCTGAGATCTAGAGTCACATGTTCCACCGACTAAGCCAGCCAGGTGCCCCACATTTTGCTCATATAACAAAAGGAAGAGTTTGGTCTGTTCCAGTGACACCTCTTTGGGTGGACCTGGGAAGTTGTCCTTTGCATTTTTTCCCCCAAATTTGATCCATGTCCCCACAGTCTGCTTTCCTCTGGTCTGTACTGTGTTTCAGTGACTGGTGCTGCCCCATTCCCAAGCCTCTATCAACTGGCTACAGGGAATCAGCCTCCTCCAGGTCTGCTTCCCTGCCTCTTAGTCCTCAGATAATGCTTAACATTAGTTAGGCTTTCCTAAGCCCCCTTCCAGGGCACTCCTCTCCACAGCTTCCAAGCACCTTCCTATTCCCCTCCTTGAACTTGAGGAGGTGCTATGTGCCCCTGACTCTCAGCCCACCCTCCCTCCCTGCTCAGGGCCTAGCCAATGGGGTGGAGACTGCAAGAAGAACCGCCAGTCCCCCATCAACATTGTCACTACCGAGGCACAGGTAGACCCAAACCTGGGACTCTTCTCCTTCTCTGGCTATGACAAGAAGCAAAAGTGGAAAGTCCAAAACAATGGGCATTCAGGTGGGTCTCAGGCAGATGGGATAGGGGACCTGGGCAGGCATGGGCACCTGGTCCGGGGACCCTTGAGTTCCAGAAGACTTGGATGGGTGGGCTTCTCCAGGGATGACTAGGTGCAGGTCCACCTTTGCTGAGGAAGGACTGCAAAGCCTAGCAGTGGGAGGGTAGGGGGAAACAGGAAGGGCCTTAGAAAGGAGGGAACACTTCATAGTATTTTCAGTACTTTAATCAGACCGGTCTGCTATGGGAGAAAGGCAGCATTCTAGGAAGAAGGAACAACATGTGCAGAGGCACAGAGGTATGGAGCAGCTTGGGGTGCTCAGGGAACTATGTGTGGCTCCGTGTGCCTGGTGGACAGAGAGCAAAGGTAGGAGGGATCAAAGTCCATCCAGGGTTGGCCAAACTGAGCCCAGGGGCAGGTGACCCAGGGCTGAGGACTGTAGACATTGTCTCCCAGGGCACCAGGGAGAGGGCTGAATTGCATGTTTGGGATGTGCAGAGGGAGAGGCAGGCAAAGAGGCCAATAAGAGGCCAGAAAAAAATCTGGGCCGTGTCACCTGTCCCATTCCATCCTATTTCCACAGGCCCAGGCATGTAGCCTATGAAGGGTCGGAGGTAGGAGAGAAGGTTCTGCCTAGGTGGAATTGGGACGGGCTAGAGGAGGTGGGTGCAAGGACTCTGTCCCCTCTTGTGCCCTCCAGTGATGGTATTGCTGGAGGATGAGGCCTCGGTTACTGGAGGAGGATTGGCTGCCCGCTACCAAGCCAAGCAGATGCATCTGCACTGGTCAGAGGAGTTGGATAAGGGCTCAGAACACACCCTCAATGGGGTTCGCTATGCCATGGAGGTGAGTGCCCTTTCCTGTGTTGACACTTTTGTTGGGCTCTGGGTGGACCTGCCTGTGGCAAGAAAGGTGTTCCAGCTGCCTCACAGGCCCTCTCCCCATTCCTCTCACTCCCCACCAGATGCACATAGTACATGAGAAAGAGAAGGGGACATCGAGGAGCGAGAAAGAGGCCCAGGATCCCAAAGATGAGATTGCAGTGCTGGCCTTCTTGGTGGAGGTGGGGCCCTCATCTGCCAGGGTCTGAGAGGCTCCTTCTTGGATCCAGAGATCTGCAAGGCAGGAGGGGACTGGGGGGATCCAGACTTCCCCTCTGTTTCTCAGTGACTTCTCTGCCCCCAGGTGGGGAGCCCAGAGCCTCTCAGGGCCTCAGTCCCAGAAGCTGCCTGCCCTCCCCACCACAGTCCAGAAGAATGGGCTGGTGGTCACCCCTGGCTCTCCACATGTCCCTGTCAAGCCCCCTTCTGTTCTGTTCCAGGCCGGATCTGAGAAAAATGATGGCTTCCAGCCTTTGGTGGAGGCGCTGTCTTATGTCCCCAGACCCAGTGAGTGGCTGGGGGTGAAGGGAAGAGAGGAGACTTCTTCCTACAAAGGAAGAGCTAGGGTGATGCAGTGGCCTGGGCTCTCAGGGATCCCCTGCTTCTCCCACCAACTGACAGTATCCTCTGTTTCTGCCTCTGCCCCAGAGATGAACACCACAATGAATGACAGCATCAGCCTGTTAGACCTGCTCCCCAAGAAGGAGACACTGAGGCACTACTTCCGCTACCTGGGCTCACTTACCACTCCAGGCTGCGAGGAGAAGGTTGTCTGGACTGTGTTCCAGGAGCGCATTCAGCTCCACAAGGACCAGGTACCTAGGACCCAGCCAAGGGTGTGGCCCCCCACTGCCCAGTTCCCCACACCATTCCTCTGAATCCCCACAGAGGCACCCTGGACTGGGGTGGGGATGGGTCACTCCAGGGAGCTGCCAAGGGTGTGGCCCCCCACTGCCCAGTTCCCCACAACCATTCCTCTGGATCCCCACAGAGGCACCCTGGACTGGGGTGGGGATGGGTCACCAGGGAATCCATAGACATTCCTTGGGGCGGACAAGACAGGTCTGGCCTATCCCATCCCTAGTTTGAGGGCTGGAGGGGAGGCTATGGCAGAGGAGGTCAGAAAAGGCTCCCATGCTGCCCGCTGTAAGTAGGTGGGAGTTGTCCAGCTGAGGGCAGGGAACCAATGTCCTGAGGAGAGGGGTCAACATGGGGGAGGGTCCAAGGCTGGCCAGGAGCAGCTGAGAGAAGGTCAGGATAGCCACAGTAGGAACAAGTCCATTCATTCAACAAATGGTGCTCGAATCCTTATAACACACTAAGCTCTAGGGATAGAGCAGTGAACCAAAGGGCCCAAATCCCTGCTCTAGTGATACTTGCATTGCAGAACAGTGGTTCTCAAAGAGTGGTCCCTGGACCAGTGGCATCAACATCATCTGGGAACTTGCTTGACATTCGAATTCTTGGGCCTCACCCCAGTCCTACCGAATCAGAAACTGTGTGGGCGGGGCTTGGCAAAGTGGGGCCCAGCAAGCATCCCCCCTTCCTCGCCCCCAGCTGTGATACTACTGCACACTGAAATCTGAGAACTACTGTTCTATAGTAGCAGTGATAATACAGCAGTGATCAGTGACTGTGGGGCTGCAAAACTGTGAGCTGTATGTCCTTAGCTTCCCAGCTAAGTGAAGCTAATAGGAACTAAGCCCCCACCAGTGCCAAGTAGTCTATATCCCCTTTTTCTTTTCATCTGCACAAAACCCTGAGAGTTAAAGATTCTGAGCCTCCTTATTAGTGAGGGCTCAGAGAAGCAAGGTTACTGGCCTGGGGTCACACAGCAGGAAATGTAGCTATGCTTGCTCCCTGCTTCCTGCTGAGCCCTGCCCCTTCCACAGATCGCTGCGTTCTCCACGAAGCTCTACTACGACTCGGAGCAGAAACTGAAAATGACAGATAATGTCAGGCCACTGCAGCGCCAGGGACAGCGCCTGGTGTTCAAGTCTCAGGCCCCAGGACAGCTGCTGCCCTTACCCTTGCCAACCCTGCTGGTCCCCATGCTCACCTGTCTGTTGGCTGGCTTCCTCGCATGATAGCTCACTTCTGGACACTTGACCTCTGCTCTCATCCCATAGAGGCCTGGGGCCTCCATTCCTCAGGCTTCCTAGCTTGGATTTTGATGATGATTAAACAGATATATTTTTGGAGAAGCCTTTCTCAGGTCTATTTTTAGTTTCCATGACTGTCTCTGTTCTGTTCCCTTCAACCCACCGCCATTCCAGGGTAGGAGCCTTAAGGCCTGGATATTTCTTCTACGCAAGGACCATGGGGCATCTCCTCCTACCTTTTGCCCCCCTCCCATCTTTTTTGAACTCTCTGTCTGCATCCCATTTGGAGAGATGCAAAGATAGCTCTGAGTTCCAACACAGCGAAAGCCAGAAAAGTTCTGGAACCTGGGTGGCTCAGTTGGTTACACTTTTGACTCTTGATTTCGGCTCAGGTCATGATCTCACAGTTTGTGAGATCAAGCCCTGTGTCAGGCTCTACGCTGACAGCGTGGAGGCTGCTTGGGATTCTCTCTGTCCCTCTTTCTGCCTCTCCCCCTCCTCCATCTCCTGCTCTCTCTTAAAATAAATAAATAAACTTTTAAAAAGAAAAGAAAAGAAAGAAAAGAAAACCAGAGAAGTTCCAATCCAGCCTCTTCATTGTATAATGGGGGAAGCTGAGGCTCAGAAAGGAGAGGATAATACGTGGAGGCCACAGAGGGGGCTCTGGCAGAAGTGGCTCAGGATCCAGCCTAGCACTTTCTTCTCTGTACTAGGGGTGGAGAGTGCAGGTTGTGTGTGGTACAGCCTAGGCAAGGTAGGTGAGAGGGGGTTCATTGATTTGTCCAAATATTTCTTGAGCATCTATGTTTTAGGCACTGGGGATGTGGCAGGGAAGACAGACAATAAATGCCTGCCTGCCCTCCTGGAGTCCACAGTCTAGTTAGAGTCACTATAAATAAAATATACACACTGTACATATATCAGAAGGCAGCAAGAGCTATGGAGAAAGATACACCAGGAAGGGAAGGTCTCCGCAGACAGGGGCAGACTTTCCATCAGGAAGCCAGCAGGTGTTCATGTGTGGAGGGGAGGGTGCCTGTCAGAGGAACAGGATGGAGACCAGCCAGCAGGAGTGGAGTGAGGGAGGGAGAAATTGTGTTAAGAGAGCTGGAGGGAGAGGGGGGAGGGGGAGGAAGGGGGGAGGAGGAAGGGGGAAAAGGGAGAGGTCAGTTGTGTGGGGGGCAGGAGGGGCTTGCACTAAGACATTATAAGGATGTTGGTTTTGAATGTGAAAGAGCTGGGAGCCCCTAGAGACAGCTAGCTAGAGCCTGATGTGTTTCATTGGGAAACAGCTAAGGGGTGATGAGTGAGGGGAGGCTGCTGCAGGGATCCAGGAGCTGATGGATCACAGGTCTTTGAACACTTTGCAAGTGAGACCAGGAAGAGGCAGGTATGGGCGGAAGGGCCCAGAAAACTGGAGGAGAAGGAAATAAGGGCCCCATGGATAGGTCCCAAGTCGGCAACCCAGAGTTAAGGTGCCCCAGGCTCTGGGATCTCATCATCTAGGGCAGGGCTGGATTTTGGAGGAGCATGAGGGTGGGGGAAGGGGAGGAGAAGGGGCCTTGCTAGGTAAAGAGGAGGCCAGGGCCATGTCTGTGGGGACAACCTCTCTAACAGGCTCTACCGTCTGTACATGGTGAACTTCCCCGCAGGAAGACATGCGAGCTAGTCAGGCACTCAAGGGATTCCATTATGCGATGCTAGAAGTCCTGGCAGGCATACTGTCGCTCTCTGAAGGGGAGCTGGTTGGCAGAGGTGACCTCTAAGCCCTCTGCCGCCCTGACACCCTCAGAGCCCCTGACTGACCACTCCCAGCAGAGCCTGCGGAGAGGGAGAAGCCTCCCCTCCCCTTTCCTTTCGTGACCAAGAATAAGCACCCCTCTCCCTTCACCAGTGACCACACAGCAGTGGGGGTGGTGTTATGGTCACCATGGCAACAGCAGGTGGCGTGTGTCAGCAGGGGGTGTGTGGGCACCAAACCTGTTCTTTTTAGTTCCTGGTGCAGCCTGTGGGGGATCTGAGATTTTTTGTACCCGCCCCCTCCCACCCAAGGCTCAGGGTTCTCAGAAATCCAAACTCCCCCCTCCCCAATAAAGCCCCACCCCTGTCCCTGCCCTCAAGGCAGCATTCAGTAAAAAACAGGGCAGCAGAACCCGGAAGTCCCAACTCTCTCCAAGGGACTTAAAGGAACCCCTGCGGAAGGCACGTGACCCTCTCCTGTCCCCCTGACCCCACAATAATAAACCTGGCCAGTGGAGGACAGAATTGGCACAGCTTGTTCAGGTCCCAGGGCTCAAGCCTCTCCCCTGACTTCCCCTGCGTGCTTAAAGCTGAGTAGGTGCCGTCAGCACATGATTCATAGCAAGGTCATTCCCAGACAGTTACTGCAGGAGCCATTCCTGGAATTAGCCCCCATATCCTGGAGGTTGAGATTGACAGGCAATCCCTCTTGTGGGGTGTGTGTTCTTGAGAACCTCCTCTTCTGAGTAAATTCAATCCCTCCATGCTGCCCCACCACCACCCTGGGCAGATCCCTTTCTAGAGAGGACATTCTAAGTTCCTTGTGCCCAACCCAGACTGGCTTCTGACACAACGTAGCCAGAGATGATAAGGATCACCAGGGGCAACCTTACTCAGAAAGAGTCCTGCCTGCCTTCCCCACAGCCCTGCTTTCATTTACTTCTGATGCTCCTCGGTCATTGCATCGGGCATACAGTGTGTACACACACACACACACACACACACACACACACACACTC